TCGCGGCTATTTATAAAAGTAAACGCCGGGCGGGTAATAGACGCCCGAATTGAAAGACGAGAAAAAGAGAATTAATATAATCCGCGTCTTAGCGGCTATTAAACTAGTCGAGAAAGAAAATAAAAATAACAATCTAAAGCTGAGGCACCCGGTGGACACTTTCACCCCGCGCGCACCCCCCCCCCCCCCCCCCCCGGAGGGACGGATCATATCACATCAACTCGGAGATCGTCAAGACGAAAATATACCCCCCTCACTTACACAAATATAAGTTTGATCGCGCGCTTCTGTCGCGCGTTCGGTACTGCGTTGACTGCGTACAAGGTTTGGACTCCGAGCGGAGCTTGGTATCCCTACCGGGTGCTCAAAAAAAAAAAAAAAAAAAAAAAAATGATATAATAAAAAAATATATATTTGAATCACAGTAATGGAGGAAAGTTTGGATCAGTCATTGATTCCATAAAGAAACTTGACTCCATCTCAGCAATGCCGGAATATTGAGAGAAAGCTTCGCGTTGGCCCCGTTAATTTCAGCGTACATCGTGAATTTTCGGAACATAATTTTTCAAGACCAACGCCCCCAAATTCCTCGCTGTTTGGAGAAACGACCCTTTGCTTGTTACCGAATTTAAAATAACGCAAGTGATTTTTTTGACATTTTATTCCGCAATATTGATTGTTTTTTGCACTTTGCATATAAATTGTTGTGAGGTCCAGTGACAGTTGTTTCTTTTTTCTTCGTGGGAAAGATCAAATTTGAACGATATTAACCCGAGTCAGTCTACCTCTCATTCACATCTAATCTTCTTATTTTATTTTTATTCAACAGACAACTCAAAAAATCTAACTCCATAAACATTTTCCTAATTTTTAAGTAAGATTTTACGAATATACTTACGAAACCCGACAGACTTTTGCTCGGTTTTCTGTTAAAATAATAAAACGAAATAGGACATTACGCAATGTAGGCTGATGTAGCTAGCTCTTTGAATCCGTCCATTTGTGCGTAAGTTTACAACGACGTAGATACGACATTTTTTTTCTGGAATTAGATCATCAATATAAAATTGATTTTTTGATACATTTTTCCTCGTCAGGGAGAGTCACTGGCTTTCGGATCAACCTGTGCACGCACAAGAGAACGCACGCGGACAACTTATTTATCGGCTCATCAGCCCTGTTTGAGACCATCAACAATGTCATCACCGTTTTCCTCACTTTTTTTCGGAGCCGTTGAGCACCACTGGGGGCTCAGAATTGTTGCGTCTACCCTGCGCCTACGCAGTATCTCTCTAAATAGCTGAGCCACGCCGTGGTACAGCGGATGGAGTGCGTGAGATATGATCCAGGAAAAGACGAGAACGTATTCAGGTTAAAAGGAACTATGTACAAATAAATTAAACTTAAAATAACTATGTATATGTCGAGGGTAAATAGTTAAATCAAGCGTTTTGTCAAATGCCTAGGCCGATAGTCAATTTTTGACAGTTTACGGAATTTTTTTTAGGTGCAAGTTTGTTTTTTAAAATGTTTCTCTCAAACAATTAAATTTGTTCCCCATTTTCCCAATTGCCAGACCGTAGAGGAGCAGGTATAGAAAGAGAGAGAAATGAGAGAAAAAAACAGCCCATAAAACCCAAAACCCTGAACGAAAACTCGCAAGGAACAACAAATCGAATCGATACTCTTGACAGGCAGTTTGTAAAATTAGAGAAAAAAGAAGCCAAAAAGAAAAGCAAACATAAGTCTCTTCCGGTTGATATTTTGGAAAAAAAGGGGGAAAAATGCGTTCTGAATTTCTGTTTTTTTATGAGAATAGCGCGGATTTTATAAAAAAAAAATCTAGCAGCAGTGATGAGACTAACCCGTACCTTTCTGTGAATATTTCTCAACACATCCTCGTAATATCGTCCTCTAATAATCGTGGAGCAACTTAGTGTACGAAACTTCAACAAGGGTCATTCATTTGGCTGAACGATTTCTCAATCGAACTCCTGGTCCTAAGCCTCCAGCCCAAAAAACCGATCCAAGATCTAGTTTCACGATCATGACCAGGTCTTCGCCCTCTCTACCCCAGTGTTGTCTTGTCTCAATGAATGTAGGTCCGATTTTTTTAAAGAAGCCTCCAGTCCTGACTTTTTTTTGTGTTTATGCTAATACTGAGCACGTGATACTCTTTTTAATGAAAATGAATATTCTTTTTAGTTCAAACAATCACATCTTTGTCTGTGTTATAGAGGGAAAATGTGCTTAGCCTTTCAATAATCTCAAATTCAGTAGATAGTTGAGCATTTGACTTTTGTATTCATCTGCTCGTTATTTACGTGCAATTGGTGCTTTTATTTTCAATCGTGGACCTCCAGTGGCGTGGCGTGAACAATCGATTACTTCCCCATCGAAAGCTATAGTAAAGAATCGATGATCAAGGTGTTCGTTACAAACACCCTGTCTACCGATTCTTTTCCATAGGCTCAAATGGCAGATCAATCGATGTATCGGAAAGCACGCCACGCCACTGTGAACCTCTTTATGGGATCAATTATGTTTCAATGTTCCTCGATATTCGAATTCGTGAAATATACCGCAGATGAATATGCTTCTCTTTTTTTTTCACCATCCTGTACAAACTTCTGTTAGAAATCATAGAGTGGCATCCGGAGTGAATTTTACTCCAAGGCCGATTTTCGCCAGACAATTTAGCGATGTGAATAAGGAGTATATCCCGCACTATGCTCAGGTTCTCTGGGGGTAAAATAGGCTCCAGAGTGAAATACTCCGTATATTTCTTTCGGATATTTCTGAGTGCTCTGGGAGAAAATTATACTTTTTTCCCTCATTTATTTTTCGTCCTTATGTCTATAGGTAAATCAAAATCGTGTACAATCATGTATTTACCTATAATTTCGGCATATGAGCACGAATTTGGTCATTGGTCCTCAGTGGCGTGGCGTGCTTTGCGATGTATAGATTGATCGACAATTTTAACCTATGGAAAAGTATCGATAAACAGGGTGTTCGCAGCGAACACCTTATTAATCGATTATTTACCACAGCTTCAAATGGGGAAATATCGACAGATCACAAAGCACGCCACCTCGGTTTTTAGGCGCAGGTGGAGCGCGCGGGTCATCAGCGGTAAGCTGTGTGTAGCTGACACCAAACAAACAGTGTAAGTTGTCGGATTGCATGAAAAATGGACGGCATTTTGCGATTAGGAACTAAAATTTCTGGTTCAGTTGAGGAACGAAGTATGCACCATTAATTACCCTTTGCCCTTAAGCGTTTTATGTTGATGATTCAAAAATTGTAGTTCTTGATTGCAAAATGTAGTCAAAGAGGTACCAAAGAGTATTCTAAAGGAACCATTTCGAAGCAGCAGCGTGAGTAATGATGCGAAAAGGTTTGCGTTTCAAAAAATGGAATCATTTTATTTCCTCCTCAAATTATCTTGGGTACATAATGGTAAATTATCATAAAACGACCAAATTTTCACATATTAATTGCATACTATTATTCCAGAAAATTATTTTTACGTAGGGCAAAACAAAATTTTTGTTTCTTTCATATGTATATAATTTTTGCGAGACCCAGTCCCCCCCCTCCACTTAAAGCCTTAGATCTGAACTGTGCATATTGTTTTAAACCTTCAGAATTGCTATGCTAAATTCTAAAAAAGAAGCAAAATTCTACGCATCGGTTTTCAGGAAATTATCCACACCGCTAGTTTACATATCTTTCCTTTCCCCCTATTCATTGATCGGAAGCAAAGGACGTCACATTTTTGCTTACGTGGACGACAATGTACTGTCAATTTACAATTGGAAAAACTAATTTTGTTAAAATCTTTAAGTCCAAAATGTTTTATAAATATAAGCAATTATAATAAAAATGTGGGTTTATTATGAGCTTTGAAAAAAAACCCTAAAATAAAAGATTTATAAAATATTTAAATATCCTCATATTTCTAACCCGGATTATAAATTAACCGCAGAAAATAAAAGGAACTTGTAAAGAAACATTCTAACGCAATAAAATTATTCTCAGAAATTAAGAAATAGAAGAAAAATACATGTATTCATGAGCTTTTCACTTTGTATTGTGCCCATAATGAGTTCTCTTGCTCTCCGAAATGAAAATCGTGCTGCGAAACTGGTCCACAGGCTATGTGATAATATCTACATCTCTGTCTCATCCGTCTTATAAAAGATTCTGAAACGGCAACGTCTGAGCGGGACTCGCCGGCCAAGTTCGGGGCTATTGTTTTTCGTTAGGTGTGCGCGCGTATGAAATGTTTTAAGGCCCGATTCACGGATTCTTAAAACGATTTTGATGTTAATTTGGAATTACCGTTGCGATGAGCTACGTGCGCCCCCCGCCCCACCCCCCGCCCCTGAGCCCCCTCCGATTCTTGGCACTTGGCTATTGTTCGGGGTTCAATTGAAACCTTCGACCGGTTTTTGAATGAAGCGCTTTCCGCTGAGAAACTCCGGCGTACATCTTGAACATTGAACCAACAATTTGTAGGCTCAGTTTTCTCCATTACGTAACTCTGAGGCAGGCTCAGAGAGATTTTCTCTCTTCAAACGGCTAAAGCAGATTTTAGGTGTTTACTAGATTATTATGGGATTACACGGAGAAAAAAACCTCGTGCGTGGGACCCGAAGTTTAGGTCATATGGATCTCTGAAGTTTTCGGAATTGAGCATCTAAACACTTTAGGTCTAGCTGCCGAGGTTCGGATCACACATCTGAAACTCCAGTTCTTACATCTGAAGTACTTCAGATGTGAGAACCGAAGTTTTTTGGATGTGAGAACCGAAGTTGTTCGGATGTGAAAACCGAAGTACTTCAGATGTAAGAACTGAAGTTTCAGATGTGTGATCCAAACCTCAGCAGCTGGACCTAAAGTGTTCAGATGCTCAATCCGAAAACTTCAGAGATCCATTTGACCTAAACTTCGGATCCCACGCACGAAGTTTTTTTCTCCGTGTACGGGATTATTTTAGCGGTACCGTTTGGCATCCAGAAAATCATGTATTTGGTTATGTTAACGAGATGCGGAGGGCCATGTCAGAAAGTTGGGATTGGCTACCAGTTTTACTGTAGATCATGTAATATGTGACCAGGGATCCTGTAACCACAAATATTCTGTAAAGATCCATTGAAGAAAACATTGCATTGAAGTTCATTCGAAATACCTTTGTTCTCAATTTTCGTCGTAAAAATATTTTCCCTCACCTACTTTTTCCATCAGATTCCAGTCTCATGATAGTGCGACTAATCTATCAGAAAATTAATTTTCCTTGAGCTTACTGATAAGACTATGTCATCAAACTTACCTGACATCCCGCAATACACTCAGCGTTCAAAATTGCGTAGAATTTTCCTCGCGACGAGACAATGGTCGACCCGGGGGCACAATTGCGATAAACAGGCCAAATTGATTTTTAATGGTAGGCACGGATAATCTGAATCATTGAACGAATGAATTAATTACTCCGGGTTGACGTTTTTAAAAATTCCATAAAATTTGATAAGTTTGCGATAAAGGAATTGTTAATAGACTTAGCTTTGATGAGCCTCTTAATAATGGATGATATGGAGAAAACTGAAACAATCACCAATGATTGAATTAAGCGGAAACTTCGTTGAAGTGGGCTAACAAGAAAAGCTCTGTGTTTTTTACCATAAAAGCCATACGTACATCTAGTAAAGTAATTTTTGGTCTCCACTGAACATTTTTGGAATATATATGTATGAACAGCGTTTATCGAAATATGCTCATTGAAATGTTGCTGCGGAGTTGTTCAATTTCCTGAATTTCTAAAAAAAGGGGATAACGACTAGTCCAAGGTTTGAGTGTCTCTCCACTGAATAAATATTTATTTGGAAAAAAGTTCTTTTGAAGTCATAATAAAGTTTGCACCACAGTTTTTGCAGCGTGCGAGGCTATATAAATTGTAACTTGCATCCCTCTAGGTTTCGTCGAGTTTTCTTGTTCCATAAGTTTTTAATTAAAGTCATTATTTTCCCAGTTAAACTCTTGGAATCCATGTGAAATTCTTCTCCGCGCCTAAAGAAAAATAAATCCTTCATCATATTCACACTAGTTGCCGCTAAACCTGAAGTTTTAAAACACTACTTGAAACTTTCTTGACTGGAAATTTTTTTATGGATTTTTATGGTTTATTTGTTTAGTGTTTTTGCGGTTTTCGAGTCCTCTTTGAGTCTCGCTGACTTATCAAATGAACACACTAGGCATGAATAGTCACAAAATTTTTGAAGACTTTCATTGCTTGATAGCTTTTCAAGGGAAAATTTGGACTACATTTTGCAAATTTGAACTGTCATTTCTAGTTCAGCTTAGAGCAACTTATGTATCATTAGTTCCCCTATGCGCATAAGTGTTTTTACGGAATAGCTGGAGATCGTAGTTCATAATTGCAAAATGTAATCCAGTTAAACTCCAACAAAGAGCGGAGAAAGTAATCAGAGGTGTCGATTTCTTTCAAAGGATTCACTCTTATTTACTTTGACACAATCCGTTTTGTGGGATACCTTAAACATGATCGATTGAGGGCTCGAGATATATGATTGAGTGAAGCTCAACAGAAGAATCTTCTAACTAGAATTGCCAATCAATCGAATCGCTTCACAGTGAGCAATCGAGATGTGTGATCAAGCGATTGCTCGATTTAATAATAATTAATCTTGGCCACTGAAAAATCTAAGTTGAATTTCTGTTCTGTTCTTAACGTCGGTGTGACTCCATGGAACTTAGAATCGATTGCTAACTCCAAACAAAATCGATCCATCTTCGAATTTGTAACAGTTTTAGCGCTGTGATATACTCTGAATCGAGTCGGATGATCCAATAATCTTCGAGTGCTTTTGTTCAGTGGCGTGGCGTAAATTGCAATGTATCGATTGTTATGCCATTTAAACCTGTGGTAAAGAATCCATTATTAAGGTGTTCGCTGCGAACACCCTGTTCATCGATCCTTTTCCATAGGTTTAAATTGCATAACAATCGATATATCGCAAAGCACGTCACGCCACTCTATTTGATAGAGATTAAAATCATATTGCAACACTAAATCCGCACTCGAATCGTATCGAATCGGCTCAATCGATATGTCATGTATCTCTTAATGAAAAGGAAAGCTATACAGTACGCTATACCTCCATAGGAAAGTTCGCTGGGGAATGCGAATGTGTTATGTGCGATTGAGAAGTGGTATCCCTTCTCTTCAAACCTGAACGCCAAGAGAGGGAAAGTTGTTCCTATTATATTCATATTAAACTTTTTTAGTTTTTAGAAGTGACAATTAAAGTTTTTGAATTGCTGCATTGTGATAGTGTGATTAGCATCGGTACAAATTTTGATGAAACGGCAAAGAGCAAAAACTGTGAACTTCGAAGCGAAAAAGGTAAATGTAGGCTTTTCATCTATTTGGTTCTTTTTTCACTTTTTAGTAATCAAAATGTATCGGTACATTACGCATCAAGCTTATTGACACAGTGAAATTCTCAAACCACGAATCTCGTTTGCAGTGTTACAAAGTCTCTGCGCCTGTTTTATTTGTTTGAAAGAGAACCGATCGAAATTATTCCTTGATTTTGTGCAGAATTTACTTTGTACAAAGAGAGAAAATCATGGAAATTTTTAGGAATCGACGTAGAAAAGTTCTCCATTTAAAAAATGTAGTATGACATCATCCCTAAGACCTTATATCGTCAGAAATGCAATAACTTCAAATCTGGTACGTATGACACGGAAATTAAGTGTCAATATAGTTATAGCGATCAAGGTAGGCTTTAATGTCGAAAACGAAATGACTGAGTATACGTATTTTTGACTCGCATGTTTGGATAATAATTCAGTATGTGGTTTTGAAACAAAGAATAGCTCTTAAACAACATTCTTTTTTCATAGATTTTTGGAGCCCACGCATGGACCAGTCATGAACATGCACTCACCTTGAAACAACTTGCGTTGAATCAGCAAAAAAGAAACTTAAACGATCTTATTTTCGAATATTTAGTCATGACAAGCATAGCACACCAACGAAGCCGCAGGCTAATCACGTAGAAGATCATTTCAAGTTCAGATTTCCGCCGAGTGTCAAAATTATGAACAGCGATCTAATAGTTTCAGCTACAAAGTTGATTAGTTTCCGTCCTACACATGGAGCTGCCAACTTGCCTCAATTATTGGTTACATAATTTTTGAAATGAAAAAAGAAAGATTTATGGGATACTCACGCTTACTGGATCTTATTCATGTTTCAAAATTGTCTCAAAAGGCACATATCTATCTTAATTCTCAATCGAGAGGCTTGGAGGACAAGGCGCATAAAAAGTGCTACAAAATCTTCGGAATTTTCAAATTATGGCAGATGATTAGAGATTGCTGATTTGTTGCTGCTATTTTGAGACCCAAAAACGTAACTGCATGGCTCCAACCAATTTAGACCACATGGTTAGACCACAATTTTCGACGTAGGTCTATCCTTGCACTTTAAATTTTAATGGTGTAACTTCCGGTTTGACCTTGTTAATGAGCAAGGAAGCAAATGGTAAAACTCTTATAAAATAAAGTCAGGATCATTTAATTTTTTACAAAAATATATAATTTTGCGAAAGAGAGTGATGAGCTTCCCTTTTAAACCCCCCCCCCCCAAAAAAAAAATTGATTTTTGCCTAGTTTTTCCTACCTCTTTGGATGTTGGTTGGAAAGCACTATTTATTGGCACTATTTTTTCAGTTTTGTCAAAAGGTGCCATTGTGCCCTTATGAATCTATGCCTCAATTTATGGATTACTTTTCTGCTACGAGACTGCGGATTCAAAAAGAAAAACGTGAAATGGATTTGGAGGCTCATCACCCGCTCTGCCATGCTAAGGAAAAACGCCGTATGAGCCTTCAGGTGGTGCCAAATTTCCTAAAATAAAACACGAATTTCCTGGTAAACTCATGTATATTTTCCCTCCAATTTTTCATATAATTTTGCTCGCAATTCCCCCTAGAGTCCCTGAAAATTTCGATGAAAAATATACATAACTTTCCTCAAAAATGAACATTTCATCGAAGGAAATTTGGCAACTCTCGAATGTTCATACGGCGTTTTTCCTTAGCACGGTAGCGCTGATAAGCTCTATCAAAGAGCGTGCGAACATATGACGCATCGTGTAAAATGCACGGATCTAAAATCCCAAGGAAGAGTCTAACGTCACATGTTCCCGCTCAAAGCTTAAAGACAAGATAGACAAGTCCAAATCTCCCGCGAGAATAAATCTCGAATGTCAACTACGCACGTATCAACTAGAACTACTCACGCATAAATAAATAATTAATGGCCCAGCCGGAGAGCATGGTTGCGATCCATCGAATCCATCCCATTGAATTCAGGCTCAATCCGTAAATTTTTACCAACGATACGACAAGTTGGCTCTGAAACAAAGCGATGCTGCCCGTGGATAGAGGCGAAATCTGGCAGTTTGGCCCGTAGGAATGAAGCCGAAATTATATCTATTATTTCGACCCGCACAACTACAAGGCCGCCCCGATATTTATTTCACCTATCCATTTTTATTCTAATCCGTAATCGCTGTGTCCGAAATTCTATGTTCTCTCGCAACGCTGCCATATGAGCGAATCGGGTGGAGTGTGTCTTTTAGTCTTTCTTTTGAGAGAAAAAAAAAGAAACGCTAAAATATCGATGAAATTTGAACTCAAATTTAGTACACTTGTGGAGACCTGTGATGTAAAATACGGAACAAATTATGTTAGACATCTTATAGTATAAGAAAGTTCCCACCTGTCGTCCACGTGATAGTCAAATGGTAGTGTGTGAGGGGGTGCGTGGGTTAATATATTTTAGCAAAATCTGAATCAGCACTCAAAAGCTAAAAGACTGGCTAGGTCATGATCAAAGGCAATGTACTATATCAAGAGGTTTCGTGGAACCTAATCCTACTTTCCTGAGTTTATGCCTCCGCCCCCCCCCCTCAAAAAAAAAAAACTTACAAAGTTGTCCTTTCTTACTCGCACAAGTTTTCTCCCATACTAGAGGCCACAAAAAGATGCGCGTTTTGTGGAGTTAAGAAGATATCGAGGAAGATAATCCATAAAATGCCTTAAAATTTCAGCTGACTTTCAACCACTTAAAATGACTCTTAGACTGCATTTCACATGTCCTTACCTGATTTTTTTTTTTTTTAAATTATTTTATTGTCAAATGATGTACAAGCACTACACAATATGTGTGTGTCTTACATCTAATGAATAACAGTTATAAGAACTTACAGAGATTTGTCCTTACTTGATATAAATTTAGGACATGATTAAGATTTGACTCGCGGTTTTAGAAATATATCAATTTTTAAATCGGATCCATTGAGGGCTATGTCCGTATTTTCAGCGTTACGTGGAATTATATCATGAAATAATAACCTTTTTCAAGAAA